TCCAAAGGGGCCTTAGCCCAGTTTGAGAATCGCTGCTCTGAAGTCTTACGCCCCACCCCTCATCAGTGCCCGCCCTCTGTCCTATTCCTTACCAAGCTCCAGCACCTAGGGCTGCATCAGGGTAGGTCCATGTGACATCTCCTCAGGGATGTCTTGCAGGAAGTGAGCCTTGCCAGCTGAAGCAGGGAACTGGCTAAGGCAGCTGCACCCTGTTCTGACGATCAGAGAGCAAGAAACCCGAGAGCCAAAAAGAGGCAAGGCTAACCGAGCCATTTATCTCTCCACCCTTCAATTAACTCCCACATGTGTTTATCAGCCAGGTTGGCACAATAAACCTTAACTATCTCAGCATGCTACCATCAAATGTGTCTGACTCCTTTATTTTACTCTCTCCTATCTTACGTATCCTCTATGACGTTACTATAATCTTTAGATATTATCACCATACAATTGCGCCCACTGGCCCTTCGGTTGTTGGAGGCTGGTTTCCTCTGACACAAACGGACTCAACAGGGCAAAACAACCACCCTAGGAATTGGACCCGCAAACTGGGTCTCACCAGCATCTACTTACACAGCAGCTGCACGTGTTTGTTGTGAGCTGTGCAAATCCAAAAGTGTGAGGTTAGAGATAGTGAGTTCCCTGCTCCCACAAAAGGATGCGGCTCTGAGGGTGGGGAGAGATTACATGGCAGACTTGAGAGGCAGACCCTGGCCAACCTGATGCCAGTGCTCTCAAAGGGCAGGATCGGAGTTGGCTGCATTCCTGCCCAGCAAGTCCACTCTTCACTTGCAAACTTCCTTCTTTGGAATGGTCAACGCTCACATTCTTACTTAGAAGCGTGCTGTCTTTTTTCCATACCATCAGCCCGTGACCCACGCATGCCGGTTTCTCTGTATCACTTGCAGAGATCCGGGATGCTGACTCTGGCACTTGGCGGATGGACAGTGGGGGCTGAAGTCCAGCTTGTAGTCAGCGTGTCCCCAGGTCCACTCTGGTGAGGGATCTACTCTAAGGAAGAAGCACTCCCATCTGACATTCCCACACAAGTTGGTCACTGGCACTGTTTCATTCTTCCCAACCGTCCTGCGGTTGCTACCCTGGCGGTTCCATTGCCACTGCTCTGGGTGCTCTGCCCTCTGACCCACTGGAGGGCAGTGAGTCTGGTGGGGGTTTTTTAAGTCCAGGAACTCTGATGATGTAGTGAGTCACCACACGGAATTCATGTCACCCCACGTTATGCATGAGGAAGCGGGGAACAGTGAGAGGACAGAAAGGACTGGGCTGGTCTCTTTCTAGTGCAGGGCCCTGGGGGAGGGCAGGAAGGGGCATTGCGATGGCCTGGGTTCCTTCCTTGGCAGCCTCTTCTCTGTCCACATGAGCTAGCTACATGGGGCAAGGGGAAAGTCCCAGGAGACTAGTCTTCCGCTGCCCCCACCCTGCTCCCTGGGCTGCCCACCACTGCAGCCAGAGGCGGGGCCTGGCTAGAGGGTTTCCACCCCCCCCCCCCTGCACCATCCAGTGACCCTGCCTCACAGTCAGCACTCACTCAGCTCATTCGGAGGTTGCACCTACACTCACCATCTCATTCCCCTGGGAATCTGCTCCCCACCAGGTGAGTAGGAAAGTAGGACAAGGCTAAAACAACTGTCGCTGAAGCTGGCAAACTCAAGTCTCTGTCTTTGGGACCCCTGTCCATGCACTAGAAGGACCAAGACTTAACAAGGCCAGCCCG